TATGTGTATGTGTATGTGTGTGTGTGTGTGTGTGTGTGTCTGTGTGAGTCTGTGTGTGTGTGAGTCTGTGTGTGTGTGTGTGTCTCTAACCAGTGATCCCTCCAGGTTGAAGGTCTGAGCGTTCTGGCACAGCAGCATCACGTCTCGCTCCAGATCGTTGAGGCTGCGGTATCGATGGCTCCGGATGCGCTCCTGCTCACACACAGACGACAGCAGAATGAAGCCTGAGCTCACAGACGCTGACTGTGTTCACGATCCACTCGCTCACCTTGATCTTCCTGAAGTCCACAGGTTTGCGGATCAGCTCGTAGTACTCGGGCAGCTCCTTGCGTGACGGCAGCTGGATGAACACCTCGCTCAGCTGACGGCCGTTACTAACATTCAGAACATCACGACACAAACACACATCAGTCACGGCGGTTTAGTGAGGAATAATTCATATGCTCGGTGCCTCTAAACATCTCCTCTCCAGCTGACCTCTGACCCGTCCTCCAAACCTTCACCGCTGTCTGTCTCTGACCATCTGCTATAACAGACCTGCAGCATCTCCAGCTCAAACTAGCACTCAATATCATGAACAACATCACCGTTCAGCTACTAGCGTCCGCATCAGCTGTAACACGACCAACCATGTTGTGCTCTGAGAGGGACATACACAAACCTGTTCATGAAGAACATCTGAAGACACAGAACACCTCCTGTCCTACTTTATCACGTCTCAGTGCTGGCTCCTACTTTTCTCAACCACTTTGGAAATGACTCTGACACTCACTTCTCCTTATATTTAATAACAGCGTCCACAATCTTCTTCATCTTCTTGGTGAGCGGCGGAGGGTTCGGCGAAAGCTTCTCGGACGGCGGGCGACCTCGTTTTTTCTGTCTTTTGCCGTCGTCGTCTCTCTCTCGTCCCCCGCGAGCGCCTGAAGTGGACGGGATGGCGTCCGGATCTCGATCGCGCCTCCTCTTCCGAGACGTTTTCTTGTGGCGCACCTCCTCCTCGATCTCATCCAGGGTCCCGTCCTCGATCGCCTGAGAACAGAGGGATGGATCAGGAGCGTCCAGCAGAGGAAGACAAGCTGATGAATGAGGCGTCTGTCTGACCTTCAGCCACTGTTTCTCTGTGAGCGAATCGCTGTAATCCACCTCCTTCCTCTGACGGGAGCCGCGGCCGAACATCTTCTCCTCTTCTTCCTCACAGGTGAGTCTTTCCACCTCGGCGTCGTCTTTCATGATCCAGGTGGGCAGCTCGTCCTCCTCCATGAGACGAGGCTTTCGCTTCGGATTGCGTGCTTCCTCGCGGCGGCGATCCAGATCCATGCGCTGCGCAGAAACACAGAGACAGTGGAAGTTAATTTGGATTCGATCTGGATTAAGCGATGATCTGAATTTGTTCCAGCAAACATAAGCGAGAGAAAGTGAAACGAGACCATGAACTGGTCAAACTCGTCCTCACTCCTGGCGATCATCTGATTTACGGTCTCATCGTCCGGCACCTCGTCCTCTTCCTGACGGAGAAACAGATGCAGACAAAAACAGCAAGCCATCAGAAGAGCTTTAGAAGCACAGAAAAGATCCATGACCACGTTTACATGAACACAGAAAATAAGTTCTTGATGCTTCATAATCCTACAGTATTTACATGAAAAAACAACATTCTCTCGCTAAATCCTGGAGATTATCTTATTATTATTAGATCACCTTAACGTTATAAAACTGTTATTATTAGTGTTGTCACGATACCAACATTTTGACTTGACTAGAACATCTCGATACTAGTACTGAACCGATACCATGACAAAAATTACAAAAAGAAAAGAAAGAAATCTCTCACTTGACCAGTGTTCCTGTCCTGCTTTTTGAGCATTTCCTCCCCCTTAAAACAAAACAAAACATCACATGCCAGTGTCACAAGCCTACAGTGAGCAAGTCATGACTGATACAGACGAGCCTGCAGTGTGTGGAGATCTGTGCAGGACTGGTTAGCTAGCCGAGGGAAATATGACCAGAATATTACTCTACGCTAGGAGTCATTTTATTTCACAATAATAATTTATATCAGGATATAGTCATTTTTGTTATTAATAATAAGAACATAGATGCAAGTAACAAACAAAAGGACTAATGCAATAAAACAGACACAAATGAAATAAGCAGTGTTTTAGGTACAGTAGGTCTGTTTAACAGTAGCATTCAAGAAAGAGATGACACAGAAATTGAATGAAGTAATCAAAATACAAAAGTAAAGCACTGCATAGTCTTCACTGTAGGAATGAAACATTCAAACATTTATCCTTATTAAAGCTAGTAAAGATTAGTGAGTGATTTTTTGATTAATATTGTAGAGACAGACAGCAGCAGGAATATTAGACTGCTGTCACGCACCCAATTTATTGATACACACGTTTTCTTTCTCAGCTGTTTAAAAGCGGAGTACCGCGATACCTTTTTAGTACCGGTATCGTGCAACACTAGTTATTATATGTATGCACAAATCCGGCCTCACAAACCCTTAAACGCATCCTTACAGTGATTCACTCTCACTTCTCTTTATGCAAGACGAATCTCCTCCAGAATGTGTGCTTTACGTCTCAAAGCTGTTTCTTAGAATCACGTTTGTATGGATGTGCAAAATACTGTGCTACAGCTGATATTCTGGATAATTATTCAGGATAATATCGTACGGCACCAGCCTCATTCCGACTTGACTTAAGCAGTTTACATGACGCATTCGTTAATAAAACAAGAGCAAATTACATATATATATATATACAGTATATAATATTGGGATATTCTCATTCGCGTAAACGTGGTCAATGTAGAGACTAAACGAGACCGAATGAGAGTCCTGACCTCGTCCTGCTCCTCGTGCTCCAGAATGGCCTGCAGAAACGCTCGGCGCTCGTGACTCGACGACTTCTGGTCGAACATGCCGGCCTGGATCACCTTCTGGTCCACGTTCAGCTTGTATTTAGCGGCCGCCAGGATCTTCTCCTCGACGCTGTTGACGGTACAGAGCCGCAGAACCCTCACCTCGTTCTGCTGTCCGATGCGGTGCGCTCGATCCTGCGCCTGGAGGTCCTGCAGACCGAGAGCATCAGAGGAGCCAGCTGAGGATGAGGATGAGGAGGATGAGGAGGATGAAGGGTACCTGATGAGGGTTCCAGTCGCTGTCAAATATGATGACGGTGTCCGCGCTCTGCAGATTGAGGCCCAGTCCACCCGCTCTGGTGCTCAGCAGGAATATGAAGCACTGAGAGGCCGGATCATTGAAGGTCTTCAGCAGCATCCCACGATCCTCTGCTTTAGTCGTGCCTAAAACACACAAACATCATTTCTAGCACTAGTCTTCTCTGAGTAACCGCTGCCAGCCACGATGATGGAGTCGCCCGACCGTTCCCACGTCTTTAACATATTCCTGAGTCAGTAGAGTCCAGGCTCACGTCTCATCATATCCTAGTGTCAGGACTGCTCGGAGCTGTAAACGTTCACACTATATGATGTTTTATTAGTTCGGGAGGAGCACGTTCAGATAATCAACTTAATTAGCACGATAGTAAATATAATATATATACAGCCAACGTGCCTCTGTCCCACACACACACACACACACGCTCCTCTCTCGAACTATTCTGATCCCGAGTTCTCTGGGTTCAGGCTATATTCCCCCCAGCACGCCAAATATACATGCTATTCACTCAATCTGATTATATGTAAGTGCGAACTCGTGAATACCAGATGAAAACAGTGTGTGATCTCTAGTGAAGAAGCCTCGACACACACATGCTCCGAGGAATCATCCAGACGCTGCAGGACGAGGTTTGTCCAGATCATCATGAGCAATAATAATCATAATCCTGCTATACTTCACAAACTACAGACAAACACAGATCACACACACATTAATCCTGAAACACACACACACACTCATAATCACACACACATTAACCCTGAAACACACACACACACTCATAATCACACACACATTAATCCTGAAACACACACACACACTCATAATCACACACACATTAATCCTGAAACACACACACACACTCATAATCACACACACATTAATCCTGAAACACACACACACACTCATAATCACACACACATTAATCCTGAAACACACACACACACTCATAATCACACACACATTAATCCTGAAACACACACACACACTCATAATCACACACACATTAATCCTGAAACACACACACACACTCATAATCACACACACATTAATCCTGAAACACACACACACACTCATAATCACACACACATTTACCCTGAAACACACACACACACACACACACACACACTCACATTAACCCTGAAACACACACACACACACACACACTCTTGCTCACCTTCTTGTCCTTCTCGGAGCCGTCGGTCAGCAGCACTCCTTTGGCCTGCATGTGTCGGTACAGGACCCTCTGCAGCGCAGACATGTCACACTTGATCACGTACTCCACCTGCACACAGACACAAAACAGCACAATGCTTCATCTGTCCGAGGCGACGACAGACAGACTGCATCAGAATCACCTTCTCAGGCAGCTGCGCCTCCACTTCCTTCTTCAGCCGGCGCAACAGGAAGGGGCGGAGCACCTTGTGCAGGCGGCGGATGATCAGGATGGTCTCCTCCTCGTTCAGATCCACCTGAGAGACACATCAGTCACGTCTACTACTGCTCTTCATTTCCCAGCATGTCTTGACGAGCAGAATCACACATTAAAGGCTCAGGATGGAATCAGACTAGTTAGTTTATTTCATCACAATGATGTGAACATAGAGGTACATTTGAATTCATTTCACTACTTTGCTTTGAATGGTTGCTTCAAGATTCATGTCTGTAAAGTGCAGCGCTAGCAACGCTACGGTCACGGGTTCGATTGGCAGGAAATGCATGAATTGATAAAAATCTATAATCTGACTGAATGCAATGTAAGTTGTTTTGGATAAGATCGTCTGCCAAACGTGTGAACGTAAATGAAATGTCAGGTGACATCTCCAAGGATGATAACTATATCGTTTATATAACTCTAAAGCTTTAATAATGGCTCTAATTATTTTTGAATAGTGAAGTACACACTAAAACGATAACTAGAATAATCAACCAATCAGAATCCACTCGACTTTAAAGAGCTCGAGCATTTAAAGCAGCAGACGACAAAACAGCAGCACGCTTAAAATAAACCGCGTTACTGACCGCTGGCGTGCATGATGACTGTTAGAATAGTTATTATTATAGTTATAGTCCATTCCTGAGCGATGACTAACTTTAGCTTTTCTCTGTTCATTTTCTTGATAAATAATCAAGTTATAATGAATAAAATAAGTCTGATTCATCCTTATAAGAAAGAGGCTAACACACAAACACAAGCATGATTAGCATTCATGTTCATAATCAGTCTGTGTGATAGCGGCTCGCTGTCAGAGATGTGCTCAGCACTAGTGAAACAGACGGACCTTCTCTCCGGTCATGGCGAAGGGAGCGTTGAACCACTGCTCAAACGTGCTGCAGCTCTTGAAGATGGTGGGCAGCAGGAAGTTGAGCAGCGCCCAGAGCTCGGGCAGCTTGTTCTGCAGCGGGGTCCCGGTCAGAAGCACACGCCGTGGAGCCAGGTAATGCGTGTTCAACACCTGCGTCAGCTTACAGTGATGGTTCTTCATGCGATGGCCTTCGTCCACGATCATGTACTTCCAGCGAATCTGTGTCAGGTGACAGGATCTCATCAGCGCGTCTGACCGAGGTCAAAGGTCACAGGTGACCACACAGAGGCACACGCATACCTTGGCCAGCACATGCTTGTCTTTGATGATGTATTCGTATGTAGTGATCAGCACGTTGAACTTGCCGCTGCGCAGCTGTGGGATGAAGGCTCTTCTAGCAGCAGGAGATCCCTGAACACACACGATCACATGATCAAACCAGCGCTTGGGTTTGTGGGAGGATACGAGACCAGCTGCACTACACTACTGACACAAGTGGCTGACTACACTCAAACTGCTGGAAGTCACTGTGAAATTGACCAGACTTCCTTAAAACATTTGCATTTGTTCAAAGTGACTCAAATATGTGACAATATGGGAGCACAAAACCAGTGTTCAAAATTAAGATTTATGCATCATCTGAAAACTGAATAAATAATCTTTCCATTGATGTATGGTTTGTTAGGATAGGACAATATTGAGAAAATTGCCTTTAAAGTTGTCCAAATTAAGTTTTGATATATTTACAGTAGGAAATCTACAAAATATCTTCATGGAACATGATCTTTACTTAATATCCTAATGATTTTGGGCATAAATGAAAAATCTATAATTGTGACCCATACAATGTATTGTTGGCTATTGCTACAAATATACCCCAGCGACTTAACACTGCTTTTGTGCTGCAGGCTCACATTTGAGGAACATCATAAGGACTTTATCGTAAGAGTCGCTGTATTTGCAGAACACAGGCACGATATAAACTAATGACAGCGCTGTCTTCAGTAGAGCTGCTTCACAGCTGAAGGCATTTCATGAATGATGAATTATACAGCATTAACGCTGATATTTTCATGTTTATTTCCATGAAGCTGCTTTGAAGCAATCTGTATTGTATAAAGCCCTATAGAAATAAATATGACTTGGCATAAGCTGGATTATCACACAGTCTCGAGCAGAAGTGAAATACAGCCAGTTTAGTCACTCGCTAACACAGATTCATGTTTACTCCAGATCATGTGTCTCTCTGTGTGTCGCTCACCTTATACGAGACTTTGACGACAGACGGCGCCCACTTATCAAACTCATAGACCCAGTTAGACAGAGTCCTGTCAGAGAAACACAGTGTTCATCAAACAGACTCTCTGTGTGAACATACAGAAGTAAAAACAGGCAGAGCGACTGACGAGAGCGGCACGATGATGAGGTAGGGTCCGTTCAAGCGCTTGTACTCCATCAGGTACGTGATGAGCGCGATGGTTTGGATGGTTTTGCCCAAACCCATCTCATCCGCCAGGATCCCGTTCAGATTGTTGTTATAGAGAGACACCAGCCACTCCAGACCCTTGACCTGTGGAGAAACAGTCACAACATCAACACATTCAGCTGCTGCCTGCTGTTTCGTCTGTCTGAAGTCTCTTCGTTTGGATTGTTTTATATTGTTTCAGTCAGTTTTCTGTTTGCAATCACTAGAGCTCTCTTAGTTTGTTCTTAATGTGTGTGTTTCGTGTGTATCAGCGACTTAAACTCTCATCAGTTGTCCATTAATGTTGAAAGTGTTGATGTTGAACGACTGGTAAGAGCTCAGAATGACCTGGTATTGCTTGAGTTGACCGTTGATTAGCAAAGACGACTGTTTGTCCACCCGCTCAGTGACCGCATGAGCCACGGCGTAATACGACTGTAACCCACGAGCAAACGCTGCGCTGCCGTACTCATCATCCACATCCTGTTTAGCATGCCTGCAGAGACACACACACACACACACTCACATAAGAGACATGAGAGAGAGAGACACACACACACACACACACACTCACATTATAAGAGACATGAGAGAGAGACACACACACACACACACACGAGACACACACACACACACACACTCTACATGTATTCGGAATAGGAGTTCTGTACTATAACATGTTCCTCTTATATGAAGTGAAGTAAAGTGACGTGTGGCCAAGTATGGTGACCCATACTCAGAATTTGTGCTCTGCATTTAACTGGCCCTCCGCGTTCTCCAGCTTCTTCTTCTTCCTCTTCTTCTTCTTCTTCTCCTTCAGGGCCTGCACAGCTTTATGAGCACGGACCAGCTCTGTCAGATTAGCCACGTACTCATCCGTCTGCTGCAGCAGATACGCCAGACGCTTGTCCTTCTTCTGGTCAATGAGCTTCCGGTAACCCTCCTCATCCTCAGCCTGCAGGACACACAATATACACGAGCTACACACCTGACCTCAGGTTAGTGTGTGTGTGTGAGAGAGACAGAGAGAGTGTGTGTGAGTGAGTGAGTGAGTGAGTGAGTGTGAGTAAGTGAGTGAGTGTGAGTGAGTGAGTGAGTGTGTGTGTGTGTGAGTGAGTGTGTGTGTGAGTGAGTGTGTGAGTGTGAGTGAGTGAGTGAGTGAGTGAGTGTGTGTGTGTGTGTGTGTGAGTGTGTGTGTGTGAGAGTACTCCTTGAAGTCTTTGGCGTGCTGCAGGATGCTGTTGAGATATTCCTGCAGCAGAGCAATGAATCATGGGAATTAACACAGTGACTGAAGTGAGCTCCAAACATCTGAGAGCACTTGTGGAAATTTTTATTTTGCATTCTCCTGTAATTTAATACTAAATATTTCATTACTAATCATATGATCAGCATCACAATAAGAGTGACCAGCTGAACTGCAGAAGGAAGATGCATGAGAGAATCAGTCAGCATCTAAACCTGATCATCATGTTCTCCAGCAGGACCTGAGAAGATCCACGGAGCATTTTCAGCTTCACTGGAAGAACAACATGATCACTGATCTTCTGATTGGTTGCTTAGAAATAGAGCTCAATCTGAAATATCTTTGTTTCTTTTACATCATAACATTTCCTTTAAAATCATAAAATGAGCTGTTTATTTGCAAGTTTAAATTAGATTTTAAATCCCAGATATCCAGTGTGCTCTCAGGCGTTTGGAGGAATCAGAGAGCCACTGTGAGTGTGCTAGAGCCGCTTGCCTGGTGCTTCTGCCTGCGTTTGCGTTCCTGTTCGATCTTCTGCTGTTTCTCTAGTTTCTCTGTGATTCGTGCCTCACGTAACGACTGCCTCTTGTTGCGCTTGTAGCCCTTTGAGTCCAGTGAGGTTTCTAAGGCCGTGTCGCGTCTCATGCAAACCACCACCTCCTGACGCAGCTGTGAAGGCAAACAGATGAACATCAGAGCGCTTTAGCAGAGGATGTTCAACAGATGCACTGATGCAGTGGAATATGTCAGTAGATTGATGTGGATCACAGAGTCAGTCCGGGTTCATCACCTGTCTCTGGAAGTTGAGCAGTCGGAGCGCTTTGAGCTCAATCGTGGCTTTGGTGCGCAGATCTCCAGCCAGAGACCCTGGAAGATTCTCCAGCTCCTGAATACGGTGAGTGATACGAGCTTCCAGCCTGCAGAGACACAAAGCATCAGAAGTCCAGGAACCACTCGGCAGTGACACGGAGCCGGTGCAGTCCGCACGAACTGGGAGATTCTGGACTCATTCAGGAGATGCGTAATAGCGCCCCCTAGTGTATAACAGCAAGAACACGGAAACCAGGAAAATTCCGTGTTTGGTGGGGAAAGAGTTAAGAACAGATAACCGAGTAAATCACTTCAGTGCAGGTTCACTAGAAGCCTGAAAAAGCGTCGTATCTTTTGGTTTAGAGGAGGCTGGTTTAACGAGCAGCGGTGGCAGTGTTCTCCGAGAGCGATCGTTTGTTCTCGCCTGCGGTTCTGTCAGGGTCAGGGCTAGGACTCACCTGTACTCTCTCTCCTGCAGGATCTCCACCGGGTCCAGACCGCAGGGCTTCTGAACCGGCGTGATGCGGTTCTGCTTCTGGTGCAGTGGCACCATGGTGGCGGGCTGAGACGAGTGGCCCAGGTGTGCTGGAGACTGGGTCTGCGGTGGCATGACCGGAGAAGCGGCCGGTGGCACAGACGGGGGTGCAGGAGAGGGGCGTCCGGTGGGCTGCAGCGGCATCAGCTTCTGAGGAGCGTTCGAGGGGGTCGCCGCATTGACCAGAGGACCTGCCACACAGACACACATCATCACAGGCTGCTTTACCAGAAGCATGTTACCAGAAGAAGTTCACGGATGCGCTCTCACCTTCAGGCCACGGTTTCGGGGGCCCGTTGTGGTTCTGGCCCTGAACACCAGCCGGGACTCCAGAAGGTCCAGGAGGAGGCATGTTGGGTCCCACCATCCCTGCGGAGCAACCGGCACAAACTAACCCTTTACTAAAGTCACCACAGACGAGTGCAGCAAAGCTGACTGTTCAACACACTTCCACTCCATCAGGACTGAGCATCATTCAGACGAGAACCAAGAAATACACTTCAGTCTGAGTTAGGAGCGAGGTTACGCACACAACGCAACTGTGAATTTAAGGACCAGTAGTGTGACTGCGTTGAAATTATTTTAACTGCATTTCAGTCAGTTCATCTTCCTGTCATTTCAGTTCAACATCCCGTGGGACCAATTTAATTCAATTCAAATGAAATCAAATAACTAAATTCTGAATTTTGCCCAACCCTGCACTCCATAACCAGTGAAACATTATAATACGTACTTTTTTTTATCAGATAATGAAATCCCATCATCAGTAATTGATTTTCAACTATCAGAACAACCATGAACAGCTCAGATACATGTGTGGTAGATTAAGTGTGTCAGATGTGCTCACCATGTCCTCGGCTGAAGCCGGCGCTCGCTCCGCCGGGGGGCAGGCTGGTCAGAGACGGTCCCTGGGGCATCCCTGGCATGGGCCGCTTGCCCTGCACCGCCATCTGCAGGTGTTCTGGGAGCGGCTGCCCGCGCGCCAGCATCTTATACGCCATGATCTGCGCCCGCAGCTGGTGCAGCTGGCTCTGGTTGAAGGGCGTCGGAGCGGAGGAGCCGCTGGGGCCCGGGGCCGTGCTTTGGCTTCCCGGACGGTTCTGCTGCGGGAGGCTCTGGCTGTCCACACCGTCCAGCGAGGCAGAGCTAGAGCCGGAGGTGGACAGGAGAGGACCTGATGGAGGCCCGCTGGCGGACACGGGACTGGACACGTGCTCTGAAGAGCCCAGCGGAGACGGGTATCCTGCAGGAGGAGACAGAAGAGACACATGTCAGTCTAACAATAAAACATCGTCCTGTTTGTGACGGAACAGACAGCAGCGCTTCTCAAATGCTGAGTCTCATGTAGCAAAGTAAAGCAATGCTGAATGCACAAATTAAAATGCAACTAGGGAGCCGAAAACGGACATCTGTCAGACTCTACTAGTTAAACGGCCCTTTGTCTGCTGCTGGTGAAGTTACCTTGCGAGTGCTGGTCCATTGGGCTCCCTGGACGGGTCATCCTCATCGGAACCACCTTCATCTGAGTGAAGCGAGCGTCTTCTGAAAGGTTCTCCTCCACTGGCTTTAGGACAAAGAAAGACATTAATAGAGATATGACCTCTGCTATTTGGCATTTAGATTGATTTATATTTCCACCTTGTGCATCTGGTGCAGACTCTCCTGGCTGTATCCCGCAGGCGCTTGCGGAGGAAAGGAGAGTCCTGTGGAAGTGGCTGGTCCGGGACTGGGGCCCATCATGCTGTGTGAGGATCCAGGGGACAGTCCGGACCCCAGCACGGCCCCTGGAGACGGGCCCGGACCAGGCGAGGGCCCCGGGCAGGGCGTGCCTCCTAACGGGGGCTCCGGGGTGGACATGCCACAGACTCAGCCTGCATTCGAGTATTAGGACAGAACGTTTGTGCCCATTAAAATGTGACTTTGTGAACTATACCATAAAAATGTTTTATCATAATGTTTGCTCTCTGTTTCTATCAAAGCACAATTTATTTACATGATGTCCAAAGCAGTGCTGCAGTTTTGAATCTAAATGTCTCCCTCTGGGATCAGTGATGCTTCATAACAGGATCAGCTGAAGAAGTGAATTACAGACTCATTCAAATAATATCAGCGACTGGCAGGAAAAATCACACCTTAATAGCAGTCCCTGCATCTTTCACCAGTTCATTTCTTTTTTTTTTTTCAATATCATTTTATAGATTTTTTAACGTAATATTTTAGAGTTGATATCTATTTTACTCAAGAAAAATTCCCATTTTGAGATTGTGTTGAGTTTCCATGACTTCTCCGGGCCCCTGAGCCACCATTTCTAATGTCTGTGTGTTGTCCAGGTGTTCTGATGCTGATTCTGATGCTGATGCTGATTCTGCAGGACCACCAGAGCAGATGCACTCATTCCTGCCGCTGGAAACATCAAGCAGCGGCTCGTTACGGGAAAATAAGCCACGCATCAACATTTGACAGGAAAATAAAATGTCGTCCAGCTCGCGCCGCTGCAGCGATCCTCCGCCGATGATCTGCGCCTCCGCCGCCGCGACACCGAGCGTCCTCCGCCGCGTCACACCGATACAGCGCGACGGAATCATGACGTGCGAAGCGGACACACAGGCTGATGTGCTCGTGTTCACACTACAGAGATGAATACGATAATAATTCCTTGTGTATTTCATTAGACTTACCCTCGATATAATGAGTGAGGCGGACGCGCTCGAGCCGATGACGGAGCCCACGGTACGGTTATTACCGAGCAGCGCCGCCGACATCCGCTCCGTTCATTCATTCGGTCGATGCTCATGTACGGAGCGCCGCTGCGGACACAGAGATCGAGAGAAAGCGAAAGAGATTACATTTCTAAGTTATAAAGAGATATGTTTCATATTATACAAATTATATTTTGTCTTTTGATGTTTTTCTTTAGTTATGTAGGGCAGAGTTGTAACAACTTATGTTAATTTCTGACCAGAACAAACACTTTATCTGTTTACCAGTACCAACATAACTATATCTAACATATATAATCATTCTGTAGAGAAATATACAGATACTTTGTACACTGTGTGTAATTTTAATGCACCTATAAGTGTATCAGATCAGTATTTATTTCTGACTTCATGCTCTTAATCATGTTCATAGAGACAGATATACATCATCCCACCATCACTGCAGTCACATCCATCCATCCATCCATCAGGCCATCCATCCATCCATCCATCCATCAGGCCATTCATTTACAAACATGTGTACTGTCGGGGGTGGTGATGCTGGAGCTGCAGGCAGGGAAACTGCAGGTTAAAACTATCCATCTTGTGTTGTTTTCAGCCCAGCTGATGGGTAAATATAGGGCTGAACTAACCTAACCCATGGAGTTATGCTGCTCATCACAGAGTCAGACGGATGATGACTGCTCAAACTTGAATAAGACAAGAAAACTGTACTCGTTTTACTCAATGTTGTTCATTTTTTCTTTCAGGATTTTCTTTGTATGCAGCTAAACTGAAAACCTGTTGCTGATAAAAATGTACAATTACAATTAAACTGAACCAGAGAAAGAGAGACAGAGTGTGTTTGTCATCAACACATGCTGTGAACGGCCTGAGAGACACAAAGAGCTTTATACGCTGTGAAGAACAATATTCACACTGGCATCAATCAGAATCTGGCTGTCGATGTAGAGATCCTTCATGAGAGGACTGGATCCGCTGAACGGCACAAACACTGCACTGAAGAACTGAAACACATGCAGAAAATGACAAACACGCCGTAACAAAACAAGCATATGATACTGAAGCACATTATCAATATCATTATCAATTTACTGCAATGGACATAATAAAGAGACACTCTTGAATTTCTTCTCCCAAAAAACTCACAATCTTGTGAAGCTGAAGAATTTAGTGTTTTGAAGGTCATTGTGTCATGAAGTGTTTTTGTGTGATGATAGTTTGTCATGTTATGGTAGAATAAGATGATTTTGAGACACGTACGAATGGTTGCAGTGTGATTTAGGACAGGGATGAACTGATGTGTGACAGAGTTTAGAAGAAGTGAACTCAATCAAGAGTCATGGAATCAATTAGTGTAAATCATGAGGACAAACATTCAGATGTTACATTTTTAACACAAAAGATACAAACCTATAATTCACTACATCTCAAAAGTCTGCCAAACTGCTGCTTCACTTTGTGTTTTGAACAGTCGTGTGTGTGTGTGTGTGTGTGTGTGTGTATGTGTGTGCATTGAGTGTGTGTGTGTGTGTGTGCGCGTGTGTGCAAGGAATTTAAAAAATTTATTTCAGATGGTAGATTTAGACCTCAGGTACTTTGTATTCAAGAAACTTGGCTCAAACCACACTTGAAATTTGTTTTACAAGGATATACAGCAGTTAGAAGGGACAGGAAAGTTGGAAATGGTGGTGGAGTAGTAACATTCATTAAAACTGATATAGCCTATAAGCAAGTGAATGTAAGGGAAGAATGTGAATCAGTGATAGTAGAAGTCTGGTCAGGATCACAAAAAATTAGAATAATCCATTTTTATAATCCCTGTAAAAGATTAAATAGTGGAACACTGACAAATATAGGGGGAGAAGGTAGCCATAGTGAGGTGTGGTGTGGTGATTTTAATGCACACAATACATTATGGGGTAGTGAGCACACAGATCATAATGGAAGAGCAGTGGAAGAACTCTTAGAAATGAAAAATCTAGTGTGCATTAATGATGGGAGTTATACTAGGTTGGATATATCCAAAAGTAAATATTCAGCTATTGACTTAACAATTATGTCCGAATGTTTAGCTAAAGATAGTGTGTGGAAAGTATTATGAGTGTGAGAGTCCTCTTCTGCAGCAGGTGGCGCTGTTTGTTTATCGTGCTCGTGAGAAACGGGAACGAGTTCCGGTGAATATCAAATTTCTGCGTGTTCTGCTCATCGATGAATTTCGTTGATAATTTACACAAATGGACGAGTAGGATGGATCTGGTGAGTGTTCCGCGGTTATAATGGTTCACTCTGCTCGATTAACGGGGATGAAGGCGCTGTTTGAATGAGTTTAATGTGGAGCGTGTGTGTTTGTGGAATATTTTCCTGTCGGTCCCGGTTGACGCGGCCGCGGTGTGTGTGTGATGTTATTCACTCTGTTTTAGGACTTCGGGAACAAACTGCCGCAGGCTCTGTCGACAAACACTAAACTGCCCCAGTCTCTCTCCTCTAGCGCGAAGTTTCTGCCCTCAGGCCCGTTTGAGCGCTGCGGCCGCCCGCTGGGAGTCAAAGTCAAAGAGGAAGACGAGAGTGTGGAGGATTTCTTTCATTTCGGTGAGTGTCTACACACACACACTCTCACTCACACTCTCACACACACTCTCACTCACACTCTCTCACACACACACACACACACACACACTCACACACACTC